CTCCAGCCTGGCGACAGAGTGAGACTCCCTCTCAAAAAAAAAAAAAAAAAAAAAGAGTGACGGAAGGAAGGAGGGGAGGAAAGAATCTAGGATCAGAACAAGGTGGGAGAGAGCGAAGGCATTTTGCAGAGCTGCCATGCAGAGAAGGTGGGTGATGTCTGGGGACAGTGGTGAAGAGCACAGGGCTCTGAACAGGCGGCTGAGGCTGTGGGGGAGGGAGATGGTAACTTACATGCCCAGGAAGCTTTGCAGAAAGGATGCATGGGGAGGGGTGGAGGTACATGCCAGGCAGGGGCCTAGTTTGGAGCAGCTGGTATAACAAGAGGCAAGCAGGATGTGGCCCTCCAGTTTGTAGGTGAGAACACAGGCCAAGCTGCAAAATCCTGCCTTACCGTCCTGTGGCCGGGCTGTGTGGTCAGGCCTGGGAACCCACTGTGAGGGATGGAGCTTTCTCCAGTTTGGCCCTGGCAGGTGGCTAGCATATCCTTCCCTCCCTCCCCTTTCACAGGTTCCACCATCCTGGCAGAGCGGGGTATCCCATCACTCCCCTGCTCCCCCGCCTCCACGCCAACCTCGCCCAGTGCCCTGGGCAGCCGCCTCTCTGACCCCTTGCTCAGCACGTGCAGCTCTGGCCCTCTGGGTAGCTCTGCTGGTGGTAAGTAGGCTGGCCCCTCTGTTTCATGGTGGACCGTGTGGGACTGTGGCAAGGATGTAGCCTCTGTGTCTGGGCTGGGAGTGGAGAGTAGCTGGAGCCAGAGCTGGGCTCAGTGAACCCTTGTTGGGGGTGATTTCTGGGGTCATACCCTCCTGTCCCCTAGCTGGGCAGTGCCAAAGGGTAGCTCAGGAGGGACCTGCCTTAAAAGATTTTGGATCCTTTCTTTCATCCGTCTTGCCATCTTTTCTCTCACTGCCCACTAGCCTCTCTGTCCCCTTGTCTGGGGGTAGAGTGGGTCAGAAGTGGGGCTGTTCAGAGCTCAGCCTTTTCCATCGTGCCCTGGAAGTTGGGTTGTTAGGGTGAACAGGCAGATCCTGATAGTAGAAGGGGACACCAGAGGCCGGGGGCTCTCTTCCCATGAATCCAGCGCTGGGCTGGGCCATATCTCCTCCTGACTGGTGCCCCCTTGTCCTCAGGGACAGCCCCTAACTCGCCAGTGAGCCTGCCTGAGTCACCAGTGACCCCAGGTCTGGGCCAGTGGAGCGATGAGTGCACCATTTGCTATGAACATGCGGTGGACACGGTCATCTACACATGTGGCCACATGTGCCTCTGCTATACCTGTGGCCTGCGCCTCAAGAAGGCTCTGCACGCCTGCTGCCCCATCTGCCGTCGCCCCATCAAGGACATCATCAAGACCTACCGCAGCTCCTAGCCCATTGCAGTGGGCCACCCCGCACGCCCACCTCCTCGGGCTTCCACCCAGCCCCAGCTGAGGAACAAGCCAGTGGGGCCCCTTCTCTTCCTCATTTTGGAAACTTTTCCTCCTCCATTAAACATGGGAAACTGAGGCCCTTGAAAGTTTGGGGAGAGGGGGGTATCAGGCAGGGAGGGGCAGAGGCAAATCGCCAAGGGAGAGGGGAGGGGACAAGGCCACACTCTCCCTGTCTCTCCCATCTCTGCACCCAGCTCTTCTCTGCATGCTGAGGGCTGAATTGGGATCTCAGACTGCCCGAATCCTTCCCCATCTGGGGCAGGATTTCTAGGAGGTTGCTGTAGTCCATGTGGCACCTTTGTGAAAATCAGAAAACAGGGACCTTCCTCTGGGCTGCTGCAGCCCTGAGCCAGGGCATGTGGCCTGGCTAGTGCAGTGTGGACTGGATTTTAGGCTCATTTGCTCCTTCAGCCAACTTGAGTGGTCTGCAGCCTGCTCAATCTCTGGAGCTGCTGTCTCCCTCTGACCTCTGCCTACCTTCTCTTTTCTCATTCCCTGCCCACTAGGCATGGCAGCTGGGGGTGAGGCTGGTGGGTGCCTCCCATCCTGGGCAGGCTGCAGCCATGTCTCTCTCACTAGTCGATGGGCACATGGACAGGCTGCAGAGGGCTCCAGGTTCTAGGCTCCTGGCTGAGAAGGGAGGACCCCGGCCTGGCCGTAACCTTCCTTGCCCCATCATCTCCTTGGATGCTGTTGCCCAGGGGTAGCCCTTCGGCATGGGCTGGGGAGCAGGGTTGGTCTTCTGCCAGGGTCTCCAAGGACAGGTTTGCAGCTGCCCTCTCTGACCTGTTCCCCACAGTTTGGGCTATCCAGGGCCTGGGCTGATTGTCAGAGCCTGTGGCATTACATGGGATGGGCCAGGGCCCTAGTAGGGGTATGTGGTTTCCCTGGGCTAAGACCAGCATTTTTCCTTATTTTTATTTATTTGGTTTGTGGGTTTGGGTTTTTGTTCGTTTGTTTGTAGGTGAGTTCCCATCCCCTGGGACCCTAGAAAAGCTGCCCTTGTGTGTGGGGTACCTGGGAGAGGGTGCGGCTGAGGCAGTCATCACTCGATATCTTCCTCCAACTCCAGCCACAAAGCTCATAGCTAGGCCTGCCCGCCAAGAATTTGCAACTCCATAAGGAGGGGCCAAATTGGGAGACTTTTTGGCAAACAGTGTCCATTTACAGAGAGGCAGACTGAGCTTCCTTAGTGCCCTGGGGCCGGTGGTCACCCAGAGCCACAGAGTGCCCTTCCTCCCGGGTCAGAGCTGCGTTATCATGGTTGGCTCAGGCACATCAGGTAGCCCAGGAGGTTCCCCCTCCATAAGGACATCAAACTTCCAGGAGGGCCAGGGTTTCCAGCGCGGGCCAGGAACAGGAGAGGGAAACCTTGTCATGGCGGGGCAGGGAGCTCGTTCCTAGGGAAGGCTCTCTACCTTGGAGAAGATGAGCAGGCAGGGGCTGCCTCTTGCACTTCCAGGTTCTCATTCTGAGTTCTGGGGAGGGAGCGTCCATCTGCTCTGAGCTTGGTCCTCTCAGCTCTGCCTGCCCTGGCCTCTCCCAGCCTCCCAGCCCTCTGTCCCTCAGACGGCTTTTTGCTTTTGTTTTGCATCCATCAGAGCCTGCTCCTCTGTGTGGCATGCGTTTTAATCGTGGCCACTGACCAGCTGTGTGGTCCTGGCCAAGTCATAGCTGCCTGGAGCCACAGCTTCCCCTTCTATAAACTGGCTGTTTGGAGAGGGAGGAGCAGGCTTTCTGTGAGACACTCACGGGTAGTTCTTCAGTGAGGGCTGCCGTGGGGTGGTATACGAGGACCTTGGGCTGGGCCTTTGTGCTGGCCTTGCAGTGGGCTTATGGGGAAGCCACTGTTCCACTATGGGTCTCTGCTCTCCAGTCACTGACAATGGGAGACCTCTTCTGTGGGAGGAAGCAGGTGGGCGGCTGGCTAGTGGGCTCCCCCAGCCAGGGATCCCAGAGGCCAAGGGTTTGGGAGAGGAAGCCATCATCCCATTACCTCTGTCAGTGCAGGGGTGGCTGCTGCTGCCCTTGTGCACTCGGGTCGCTGTGATTGTGAATAAAGGTGATTTCGTACTAGCCTGAGGGCTGTGCTGTGTGTGGAGCACGGCGGGGTGGGGGAAGAAAGGCTGTCGTGTGCATGCACATGTGGGGGCAGGCTGGGGTGTGGAGGGCTGGTGTCCTGGATACTAGGGAGTCAGCAGGAGGCGTAGCCCTTCCCTCAGGGGTAATTGCAGGCCTCTGAGGCTTCAGGGTGGGCTGGGGCAATCAGGGAAGACTCCCTGGAGTGGGGGACTGCAGCGTGATTTGGGGCTAGAATGCCAAGTGAGTCTTGTAAATTGGGAGAGGCCACTGCATCAGTGAGAAGCAGTGTGTGGTGGGGAAGGCGCCCTGGGATTCCACCACGAAGCTTGGATTCCCCTTAAGGCAGACCAGAGCCCAAATCTGCCGCTTGTGGGGTGCACACCGCCACCTAGGGGATAACAGGGGGATGACAAATGCTCCACTCAGGTCATCAGGGGCTATGCTCTGAGCTCCCTGGGAGCAAGGCTTCCACCCCTCTTCCCCAGGCTCAGACCCCAACATCTGGAGGGAGCTCAGCTGTGTTCCCACTGGTGGGTGCAGAGGCCTGTGCCAAATGGGTGGCGCCACTGAGGAGAAAAGGGAGGCCTCTGGATAGAGACCTTTGGAGAAGTGTTCTAGATGCACTAAGTGATCTTAGTGGCGGGGAAAGAGGGCTGATGGGGAGGAGGCAGCCAGACTGGCCTCAAGGTCTAGGCACAGTGTTGGAATTGAGCTTGTTTGGCAGCACCAGGCCCAAGAGGCATGTGGGACACCTGCCTACCCATCCTGTCTCCTCAAAGGATGCTCAAGCTACCCAGCCTCTGCATGGCCTTGCCCAGCCATGGGCTGTTGCCAGCATCAGAGCTACGCTGTCCTGCTTACTGGGGTCCAGCAAAAGCAGGAGAGGGTCAGGGGGCCATGCTAAGGGGCCAGCTAGGCCTGCTGGATGTGGGTCCTTGGCCTCAAGATCTGCTTCTTTCAAAGCCTTGGCCACTGCCCAGAAACCCTCTGAAAAGTGGGGAAGAGGCTGGAGGAGCTTGACCACGATTCTCACCAACAAGAATGAGAGCTGGCTGGGTGTGGTGGCTCATGCCTGTAATCCCAGCACTTTGGGAGGCTGAGGCAGGAGGATTCCTTGAGCCTAGGAACTTGAGACCAGCCCTGGCAACATGGCAAGAATCTGTCTTTACAAATAATAAAAAAAAAAAATAGCTGGTAATGGTGGTGTGCCTAAAGTCTCAACTACTCAGGTGGCTGAGAGGATTGCTTGAGTCTGGGAGGTTGAGGTTGCAGTGACCTATGATCATGCCATTGCACCCCAGCCTTAGTGACAGGGTGAGACCTTATTTTTTTTAAGCGAGAGCTTACTTACTGCCCCTACCCTCCAGCATCTTTTCTTCCAGAGGGCCCTGGGATCCTGGAGTCCACCTTGCAATTTGGGATAATGGGACATTTGCTATTCAGCTGGATGGGTTTTCTGGTGACAGGGAGAATTAAAAGGTGACTCTGTTCAGTTAAAAAGGCCCAAAACTTTATTTAGTTTTCAGAGAAATATAAGATGCATGTAAACATAAAATACAAAACAAAACCCAAGTTTTACAGTCTAGAAGCATGCCAAGACAGAGCATTTCTGCAGACCAGAGAGTCCTGTCAAAGTGATAAAGGACACCTGGGAAGTGGCAGGCCAGGGGACTGGTCCCTTCCCCAGGGACACTGCATTTTTGTGATGAGATTTAAAAAAACCCAACTCTACTATTTAAAAATGTTAGAAACATGGAGATAGTTTAGCACCAGCAGTGATTTTGGAAATAGGTCAGCACTCGGAGTGACTGCACTGAGTTTAATGTCCTTTTCTCCAGTTTCTCTGCTGATGAGGAAAGAAGGAAAACCTGGAGGAAGGGCTCCTCCTGACCCCGCAGAGCCCACTAAGAGCTGGGAGGGGAATTCCATGAGGAATTCTCCAAGGTTCTGGAGCTCCAGAGATGTCCACCAATCCCCACCCAGCCGTGCAATCCACATGCCCACGCTTCAGGGATCACTCAAGTCTGCCTTGCCTGGGAGTCGCTTTCCTGCAGACCTCTGAGTACCTGGCAGGGAAACTCATTTCCCATCTTGTGTCCTGGATTTAAAGAAAACCTGTTGCAGATAACAAGTTGTTAATTCAAGAAGGGTGGCTGTTTTGCGGTTCTCTCTGCAGTAAATTCTTATGGGGAGTATGCCTTGGTTATAAGGCACTGCAAAACGGCAGGTATATCCATGGATGACTGTTTATCATACCCAGTCTAATTCATACCAGATGGCAGGCCTAGCCAACGGGACCACCATAGGTGTCAGAGATACTTAAAGATGACTGGTACCAATAGGATGACAAAGGAGGTTGCCTTCCTCCCAGATATGCCCAGTGGAGCCTGAACTCTGATTCTAGTTTGTGCAGGTGGGGTCTACTGTATGACCCATTGTGGTCATGGTCTCAAGTCATACAACTTGAGCAGCTAGCTTTGCATCGGACAGTCAAAGGGAAGTGGGCAAAACCAGCTGAGAACCCAGGAGCTGGATGCATGTGTTCTGGAATCAGGGCCTGCAAACTCAAAGATTGGTTTGTTGCTGGTGACTCCCCTCTCCAATAAGTAAATCAGTGACCATTCATTGAGAACCGATGGGGACTCAGCTTGTGGCCCAATGAGTGGCAGTTTTTTTCCTAGCCAGCTTCTATGGCCAAATTTGGAAGATTTTCCAACCTGCTGTGGCTGGACCCTTGGGTGCTGAATCACTAAATTCCCTTCTACCTGCTCTCTCCTTCCTGAAACACGCAGAGCAGACTTCTTCCTTCTTTCTAATCAACAGACAAAACTCCAAACCCCTTTTCAGTCTTCACACATCTTTTCTTCCTAGAAGACATCCTCTTCCGGAAGCCTCCTTCCCTAGGGAAGGGACAGTAGGCCCCAGCTAAAAACATGCACACGTTCTTCTCACCAACGTGCCTCTCACTTGCCTCTAACATGCTCGAGCCATCCTTTTGTTCTAAATAGTTCTTCCTCCCTCTCTCCTTCTCCTTTACTTCTTGAGACTCAGCCTATTGGTAAGGATGGAACTGGGAGCAAGGCAGGGCCCTTCAGTACAGGGGACCCCATTCTCTAAGGCCACTGAATTCTAGGACTGGAGTAGGAGAGGGTGCCGATTGTCAAGTGCAAACTTGAGATTTAAGAAGACAGGATTGGGCCAGGTGCGGTGGCTCACACCTGTAATCCCAGCACTTTGGGAGGCTGAGGCAGGTGGATCACAAGGTCAGGAGTTTGAGACTATCCTGGCCAACATGGCAAAACCCTGTCTCCACTAAAAATACAAAAATAAACTGGGCATGGTGGCGGGCGCCTGTAATCTCAGCTACTCGGGAGGCTGAGGCAGGAGAATTGCTTGAACCCAGAAGGTGGAGATTGCAGTAAGCTGAGATTCTGCCACCGCACTCCAGCCTGGGTGGAGAGTGAGACTCCGTCTGAAAAAGGATTGGGGAAGGGGGATTGCATGCTAAGCCCAACCTTATAGGCAGACTGCGATCAAGGCCTTGGAAGGTAGAGCCCTCCACTCAGTCTGTAAGCACCAGTGTGCCCACTTTATGGCCTGGGGACCCAGGTTTGCAGGAGGGAAGTTAGCAGTGGGACTGTTTTCTCCCAAAGCTATGGGACACTGATCCTGTCCTCTCACTGGCTCTGATCATGCAGCTTGGGAACCACAGAGACACGAGACGGCACCAAACAGGGATGATGATTTAGCCAGAAACTCAGTAAGGTCTAGCAGAGCCCTCTGCACTTTCCACGAAGTGCTGGGTCTGGCCTTGCAGTCGGGACTAGACGTATATATACCTGCATGTCTTGTTGGGCACACTGTAAGCACGTTCTCACCCCGACCACCTTACTCACCCTCCGATACAAGGATGAAGGGGCGGGCAGCGCTTTTATTATAAGGGGCTTCTCATACTCATGGCATGGCTGAGGGGCAGAAGTCAGCCTGCTTAATGACACATCTGCAGGGGTGACCTAACTGAACCAACTCAGTGTTTCTACAACCAATGGCATCTCTTGTGCACATCTTCATTTTGGAGCCTGGGACAACTGCTTAGGCTACTTCTGCTAGACCTGTTAATGCCAGTGTGAAGCTTCCAACTAAATACTTAATACTTACAAAAAGAAAAAAACACATTGCACTCTCCAGCCAGAATGATGTGTGTGAATGACGCACACACCTGCTGCTAGAAGCTCAGTCCCTTGGGACCTGCCCATTGCCAAGGACTTGTTCAATGGAGACAGCTTGCCTGGTATTGTTTTTTTTTTCTAACCCCATGTTACTTAGTTCAAGTGGGAAGTTACCAACACTTGTGTATGCGCATGAGTGCGCGTACACACACACACACACACACACACACACACACACACACACACACCACATGGCCCTCAAAAAAGTGAGGGAATCTTATTTAGCAATGTGGACAGTTCTCTTCCCAGAGAGCTCTGCATTGAGATTCTCAAAGACTGAATAGCTAGATGGGTATCTAGGGAGAGACTCACACAGGGCAGAGTCCCACTCTGGGCACAGAGACCCATGTCTGCAGAAATTCACCAAATAGGGGGTTGGAGCGGCAAGCATACAGTACTGGAGGTGGGGGAAGAAGCCACAGGGATGTCCCTGTCACCTTGAGGGGCAGAGCTCTGGGGCCTTGAACCCAGAGGAAACTTCTCATTCTGCTGCTTTCTCTACTGGTGCTGAGGAAGGAGGCCAGATTGGTTACCTGTTGTGGGAAGCTCTGTCTGCAGAGAAACTTGAATAGACCCCCCTGACTTTTCCTGGAGGAGAATTCATACTATCTTGTCTGGGTGTGGAGCACAGACAGGGCTTACTCCTCAGGCTGAAGTTGCTGAGATGAATGGGCGGGCCAGGCTCAGCCCCAGGCCCTGCTTGTGGGAATTGGTGTCTCACAAGGGTGTGCACGGTTCAGGGTTCTCACATCCCCCCAAAAAGACTTGGTGACCTCTAGGCTTCCTGCCTAGAAATTGAACTGATGGCACCCAATTTTAGAAAGATTCAAATATACACCAGAAGGATCACAGCCCAAACATCAGGACATGGGGGTGAGAGAGGGCTGCTGGAGTCATTTGTAGGACAGGTCTCTCTGAGCTGCTGGCTGCACCACAAGAGAAATCAAAACAAGGGACAGCTCCCAAGGGCCTGACTCTGCTCCAGGGACTGGGGCCCTGGAGACCAAGGGCCCCCTGCCTGAATACCTTTCTTCTGGGTGGATCTGGCAGGGACACCTATCATCTTCCTAAGGAAGGGGGAGAGGAGAAGGCTGTAAGATCAAACTCCATCAACTCACCCACCTGTTCTATAGCTAGGGTTCCTTCAGCGCCCTGCTCCTTGCATCTTGCTCTCCGAGCGCCACTGGTTTTCCCTCCATTGTCCCCAATGAGCCCTGGCATCCATCTTGGTAATATTGCACTTTTCCTATCTCTCTGATTGTTTCCATTTTCTACTGAGAATGCAAGGTATTTGGAGGGGAAAGAGGAAGCGAGTAACCTTAAAGAAATAATATCTTAGTTAAATACAATAACAGGAAAAATAGGGGTTATTTTATCCTTTTTCCCCTTAAACAAAAACTACCAAACCAAGGCCTAAACTTAAATAGTTCTACACCTATTCTGCAAACACTAGTAATATGAAAATAATGCCTGACTGAAATTCCCTTGTCTTTTTTCCTTAGATGATAGAAGTAGTAACATGACTTGCTGAGGGAAGCAATGGATATAAATGCCAGTAAAATATGCTGCTCTAACATCTGAAAGTGATTAAAATGATTCTATATAATGCCTTCGTCAAGATGGAAAATCAGGGAGGAAGAAAGAGAAAACTTTGGGGCCAGGTTGGGGGTAACAGGGCTGAGGCCTGGCAGGAGAGCCCCGTCTAGTCTCTGGGCATGGGGGAACCCACAGGGCGTGAGGCCCATCTGCTGCTCAGGACTGCCCCTTTCCAGCGCACTTTTGCTGCCCCCAAAGTCCCATGGCCTGGTGAGAATAGCAAGGAGGAGAGGGGCAACATAGCCAGGCCTGTGTCACAAAGAGGGATGAGGTGGGTGGGAAATGAAGACATTTTTTTTCCCTCCCGAAAAAAAAAAAAAAAAGGTCTTTAAACGGAAAGGAAAACGAAGCACCAAATGCTGTATCTTCAGGCATTATATGAACCTCAATAATGACCTCAGAAGGGCTCATTATGGTTAAAGTTGCAGTATACAGCAATACAGTGTCATTCACATTTTCAATCGCAACTCGTGGGAAACTAGGTTTGGACACTGCGGAGATTTTTTCTTTTTCCTTTTTTAGTCCGATCTGGTTTTCCTCCAGATGGGTCAGAGCCCTAGGCCCCCTCCCTCCTCTGCCTGCTGCCGGCAGTATCCTCCAACATCACAAAGCAGCTCAGTAGCTCTAGGGAAAGGCCCTCTCGCCCAGACTAGGGCTAGGAGTCCAGGGGCACAAGGCCTGGTATCCCCTGACCATTTCTGAGAAGGACTGGCATGCACCCTTCTTGCTTCAAGTATTAATGTCTTTGGGTTTGTAGGGTTTTGTGCTGTGAGTTAGGGGGCTGAGGGGGCGAGGTGGGAAGACTGGGGCATGCAATCCCTGTTTACTGCCCAGATCTACATGCTGTCACCAGGTGGCAGCATTCCCCACTTTTCCTGGATGCCTGAGCAACTCCCAGCCATCCTTGGGGCTGGATGTCACAATGTAAACATGACCACACAACAAACTATAATGGGGGTGAGGAGGAGCACAGGATTAATGCAGTGGGGAGCTCTGCCATTAACTAGGGGTGAGATTTTGGAAAAGTCATTTCCTGTCCTTGGGCCGCAGTAACAGGAAGGGATGGGATGGCGTGACCTCTGAGGTCTCTTCAGTCCTGCCTTTTAATGACTTATCACTTAGAGCACGGGGGATGGAGAGGGGGGTCCTTGGGGACTGGGAGAATATGGGGGGCAGTGCAGATGGTAAGGAAGGGCAGGAAAGGCAGGCTCTGGGGAGCACTGTGGTCCGGTCTGACTGAGATGCTCTGTGCTTGGCAGACATGCTCTGCACTCCCTCCTTGCCTGGCTGGCGCACTAGTGACCGAACTGGCTCAGTGCAGACATTTGAGGAGGGAGGCTGCGGGGCCCTCCCCCTGGAAGATAGCTACATGGAAGGTTCTTTACCTGACAGTCACTCTACTTTTAAATTTTATTTTAAATAGTCATAAATTACTTTTTTCTCTTAATAAATATGTGCTGTTTAAAAATGAGAAAAGTATATACTGCATCTTTAAGTAATGCACTTTGCTCTGAGTTTTTTCCATTCTACCTTAAAGTGCATTAATTAAAAAATAATGAACCACTTCTTTATCATTATTGTTCAAATAAGTACAAATAATAATATGAAGACACTAAACCACTACCATTAGTACTGCAATCTAGCAGATTAACTCAATATCCTGCTCTATTTAATACTGTCCAGCAGAAGAAAATAACTAATTTCAACTTTAAACATACAAAACCAGGAAACAAAACAATCTCACCACAGGCCTTTGACAAAGAACACGAGCCGTTTGCTCTAGCTGCCAGGCATCAGTGTATGGCGAGGGACAGGGGCTTGGGGTTGCCCAGGCAAGGCCTCTGGGATGGGGTGTGGTAGGGGTGGGAATGGGTCTCGAAGGCACTGAGACGTTGGGTCCCATCTGCCCTGCCTGGGTGGGAAGCAAGGTAAGGGAGGGCCTTTCCTCCTCTGTAGAAAACATCCCCCAGTCCAGGGACCCTGGCAGCTGAATCGGCAGCTGTGAAGCCCGATCTGTCTGAAATCAAAGGCACGTGTGGAAATCCACTCCCAGTGAAGGGGCAGTCCTTGGGGGAAGCCGGTTGGGCTTCTGGAGGGTCCCCTCTGAAATGTCAACAATTGAAAAACACAACCCAAAGGTGACTGAGGACCTACAGGGAACTTTATTCTCTTGCTTCTGTCTTCACTGGGGCAGTGCCCCTTGGAAGACCAGGTTGGCTCCTGGCACAGGGATCCTCCATCTTCTTGGGCACCTGTGGCATTGCCAACAGGCCAGAGGAGGCAACTGGCAGTGTTGGCTCCAGTCTGACCCCAAGGGGCCAGCTGGGTTCCCCTCTGCCCATAGTGGGGGCGATGATTGCTTCCCCACGCTTCATACATAAGGCTTCCAGCCCTGCCCGGCTGGGAACACACCCAGCAGACTGGGAGCTGCCTTCTCTCCAAAAGTCTGGCTCCTGAACATCCTCCTCCTTCCTGGGGAGGGTTTTTGCCGCTCTGAGGTTGTGCAGGAACCAGGACAGTTTCTCTGCTTCACCATGTCTGCGACCTGGGGCTTGCCTAGCCCCAAATTTTTTCTGGCAGGTGGCAAGCTCCAGCACAGTCCACATAGTGGAAACCAAATGAAACGACTTTGGCTTGTGGAGGGGAAGAATGTGAAATAAAAACAAAAGCAAAATCACCCACCCACAAGATGCAACAGAAACCCCATCCACTAACCATCCCCTTCCCATGTAAGGCCGACCACCCAGGCCCCCAAACAACCCCTAAAATAAGACGCAAAGGCCTGAAATATAGGCCCCAAATCAATAGACCTCTCCCGAAACATGCAAAGGAACTGCCCGCCCGGAAATATGCAAAATAGTCTGTGCAGATTATGAAGAGACTGGTGGCTTCGCCCACCCTCTCTGTAAACTCTGGTACTGTGTCCTCCGGGGGATGCCCCGAGGAGAGTGGGCTCTCTTCTCAAGGCCAGGACAGTGACAGCTACAAAAGATGGTCCTTGCTGGCACCTGGGAACTGTTTTTTCTTCAACTGACAGTGACAGTGGCCTGCCCAGGACAGGCTTGAGCTCATAAGACACTTCCAAGCCCCAAAGCCAGAGGTGGCTTCTAATGTACCCACCTGTGGCAGTGCCTAGGAAACCAGCACAATTCACAAACACAGATAAGGACAATACCAGGGCTACCCGGGGTGGCAAGATGCCAGCAACCAAAACTGGGCCAAGCAGGGACAGGACATTGGAGGCCCCCCATGACCACATCTTTTCCAGATCTGTAGCAAAGGCACAACTGGGGTCTCCCACATGGCCTGTCCCAGATGGCATGTAATCCACTGGTGAAGTCCCCACAGTGCAAAGCGGGTCTCCGCTTTCTTGGCCTTGGGTCCCAGGCCTGGGACTCCCTGGTCCATTCCCTTCCTCACTCAGTGTGGACTCCCCCATCCCCTACCTTCCAGCTGTAGGACAGCTTGGATGCCGGGCATCTTTGAGGTCACCCATTCTGCAGGGTTGAATGTTGTCTATCCCCCACCCCTCCCTTTTTTTCCTTTTCCTTTTGTTCGTCTCACCGCTCATCCAGTGGGCGGCCAGAGAGGCACAATGAGGCTGGAAGAGCCCAGGCCCTCCGCTAGTTCTTTTTCTCAAGGTAGTTGGAGGGCACCCAGCCTTTGAAGGGCCTCACACCATCCAGGATCTGGCAGTACCACCAGCCATTAGGGTTCCTCTCCAGAACCTCCATGGACACTCCCTCTTGGAAGCCTGCTGTCTCCTCATCCCCCTCGTAGTCTGCGATAGAGACGTACATGTCTTTGAGGTTATTGTGGATGAACTGAGACTTCTCAATGGGCTTGGGGCGCACGGGGGACACTGGGATGCCGTTGCGCTGGGCGGGCAGCAGGGGTGAGTCTGAACCCTGGCTGGCGGCCCGTTCGGCCAGGCGGCCCTTGGCCTCAGGCGTGGCAGCAGAACGAGCAGTGCTAAAGGAGGAGTTCCGTCGGACACCTCGGAGGCCATCAGTGGCTGTGAGTGACTCATTCCTCCGCAGGGCGCAGGACAGGTTGTTGTCCTTGGGTGGTGGAGACACAAACACCGACTGGGGCCTCACCGCCACCTGCCGCACGCCATTCCTCATCTTCACTGCTGGGGTGCCTGAGGTCTTGCCGAAGCCCCCAGGGGGTTTCGAAGGGATGGGGGGCGTGGCCCTCTTGCTCTGGTTGACGGTGTTCAGGGCCTGGACCCGCCTCTCAATCTTCTCCAGGCTGTCTGACTTGCCTTCGTTCTGCCTGTCCTTGGCGGGCACTGCATCTGACTCTTTGCCAGAAGGGTCAGGTTGCTCGTTTTCATCCAGCACCAAATAGTGGGAAGGGGCCCAGCCCTCCAGCTCCCCAAACTTCACGTACCACCACCCGCTCTCCTGCTTCTCCAGCACCTGCACCTCCACGCCCGCGGGGAAGCTGATCTCCGAGTCCTGGACCTTCTGGTAGGCACTGCATGTCACATATGAGGTGGCTGGCCCTTCCCATTCCTTCTTGGTGGGACATGGGGGAGTGGCGGCTGGGAGGGTGATGAGGTCGGATGAACCTCTCCTACACCCCTCACTGGGAGTCTCGGAGGCCGTCTGCGGGGGCAGCTCTGAATCCTCACTCTTGGAGCCCTTGAGACCCCCGCGGAGCTGGCCTGTGGGTCTCAGCTGGCGCCGTAAAGTGCTGATGTCCATTTTCTCTTGGCTCTGCGACTCTGCTCGGTTCAGGAATGGCTTGGGCCGGACTGATGGCTTGGCCCGGGCACAGGAGGTCAGCCCAGCTTTCACATCAGCATCCTTCTTTGCCTTGACCTTAGGAGTGCCACGGATGCCTGCATCTGAAGCAGAGCGGGGCTTCAGGTCACCACTGGTTTTGGACAATGAAGAAGAGGAGGAGGAAGAGGAGGAGCAGCAGGTGGTATTGATGGTGATGGAGGAGGAAAAGGAGGCTGAGGAGTGGTTCTTCCCCAGTTCTGCCTTCGAATTCTTCTCTGCCTTGAGCTTTAGGAGTGACGATGACTTGGGGGAGCCTGATTTGGGTGAGTTTTTCCTGACCAGGGACAGTGAGGAGCTGCCTGGGGAGTCACTGTCCCCAGAGGAGCCTCTGGCTGACAGGGTATCCTCTGCATACGGCCGGAAGCCCTCATTCTCATAGATGGTCTCCTCTTCCAGGGCCACGTCTTCTGAAGACTCGCCCACTTTGAAGCGGGCCCGCTGCAGAGAAGAGGCCGGCGATGGCCGGCAGGGCTGGGCAGGCCGCCTGTCCCCTGAGGCTCTGTCCTCCACGGGCTCTTCACTCAGCTCGGGCTCTGAGTCAAAGCCAAATGCAGGGATGTCATACTCAGGCTCCTCGTACTTGAGCTTCCGCGGGGAGTCCTGGCCCTCACTGGCCCCTGGTGGGCCCTCCTCGGCCTCCCTGGGCTTGCTGGGCGGTGCTGGCGGGGGCACCTTGGGCCGGGTCAGCGTGCTTGTACGGCGGCTCAGGTTGGGCTTCTTGCGCTTATCGATGTATGATGCGGGGGCCCAGCCCTCCTTCTCACCGATCTGCACATACCACCAGCCACCTGAGTTCTTATCAATGACCTGGGGGATGAGTGCAGATGAGCCAGTGAGTTGAGAGGATCTGGGACCCTGTGACATACCAAAGTAGGAGTGTCATACTTTGGCTTGGAGATACATTATCTCCATTTTACAAATAATAAACTGAGCCACCGAGTAAGTGGCCAAAGACCCAACATAGTAAGTAATGCACCAGAATTCAAACCTAGGTCTTCAGCATCTCACGGTTGGTGGGTTCCCTTTGCAAAGTTACCTCCCTGGTCCTCCACATCTGTGTTAACACCCGGGTTGAGGTGGCCACTCCTTCCACTAAACTGCACTGTTCCCAGTCCCCATGATGCTGCCAGTAGACTCACTAAGGACACGTATGAATAAAACACTGCCCTTCTGTTGCCCCTTCCCTCCCTGTACCCTTGATGTTGCTAGGTCCTTCCTGGGAGGCCCTTGGAAGGGTCTCCAGGGTCAGAAGAGAATGGGAAGATGAAGTGATTGGGAGGTAGAGACCCGACGCCAGGGCCCCTCTGCAGAGCCTCTTCCCAGTGTCCACCACCTGTGGCCATTTTACTGGAATCCCACTGAAATCCCGCTAGCTGAAGAGATTTCCATGGGTTGAATGGTTTCCTGTAGGAAGTGTAGGGGACTTTCAGTAATTTCCATGTTAGTATAAACTGCTTTAAGGGGCTTCTTCCTTAACTTTTGAGATCAACCAATGGCCAAGAGTGTGGCTGCTGGTTGTGCTGGGGTCCATTTGGACTGGGGAGCATGAAGGGCAGGCAATTGGGGATTGTGGGACACTCCTGGAGGGAGAGATCCTGGGGTGGGGAGGGGTAGTGTGAAAACACTGGCACCATGGGAAGAGGCCAAGGACGGAGGGAAGGATGAAGAACGCAAAGGCAAGAAGAGACCAGTCCTCTGTACCCCACCAAAAGAGAAAGATTTTCTCCTTCTTTGGGTCCTTCATTCTGTCCTTCACCCTGCCGCAGCCCTGGACCTACAGTGCAAGCACTCCTTGAACCTGACAGTTCTGCCACATTATGCTCTTTTCAGACTCTCCTGGAAATCTCAGCACCGAGACGATGATTTTTCTTGGAAATGTAGTTCCAAGTTCCAGGCATGTTATTTAAAACATTCACATTGGGAATGTCACTGCTTTAGAGGTAGAGACTGCCCAGTGAATCTGACAGTACATCACTAGTTGGAGTTAACTCAATTACTACACAAAACCACTGAGAGAATTGACTGAGTTACAGTTCTTCTCTGCTGCTGGGAATACCATGCTCAGCACCAGCCACAAAATACAGTGGCCTGAATGTTGGAAGACGGGCTGGGAGGGCTTGTCCCAGGATCTATCACCTCGTTTGCAGAGGGAAATGCTTAAAGTTGGGGGCGGGAGAAGTGACTGCATCAAAGGCCAGGGTTCATGTGGTATGACTTGGCCAGAGCCCAGGCCCCAGTATCTCATTCCACCTGCCTGGTCCACATCCTCCTGACCACATTTCCTATTGGGGCTCTGCAGGATCCCGGCCCCGAGGTGTTCCTGGGAGAAAAACTTGTAGGGTAGTGCCTATTCTAGTCCCCTTGTAGATGACACTCCCAGTGACATCCTTGTATCGTAGGCTCTGGGAAGCCCTGCAATTAAAACAACAAACGGGCTGGATGTTGTTTAATCCACTGTCCTAGAAGCTCATTTGACCACAGAAGCCCTTTGTTTCGAGGCCCCCGTCACAAGCTCACGTACATGCTCTGGGAAGTGTCGTTGTGAGACGAGCCCTGTGAGCTCAGGGTGGAGCATGAGAGCTGGGATCTAGTCCAGGCTGTGGCACTGGCTGGCGCCAGGGAGATGCTCATCCTTGTGCTCATTTCTGCACCTTTCCTGGCTGCCCCTCAGGAGTCTTACTAGCTCGGCCTAAATGGGAAATGCAGTTCTGCCATGATGAGTTAAAACCCTTGGCCTCATGGCCCGAGGCTTACCTCTGCCTTCTGTCCTCCCCGAAAGCTGATGCCATCGGAAATGCACGACTGGAATTCGGCAATGGTGTAGTACTCCACCTCAACAGAAGGGGGCTCTGGTGGCTTTGGCAGTTGGAACCCCTAAGGTTGAAGAAGACACAGTGGGCAAAACCCACTCAAATCATAAGAGTAACATGGCCAAGTATTGGTCCCCCCCACCCCCCCACTCAGTCCCCAGGAGGAGCGGATGGCCATTTACACCAGCTGGACAGCAGCTAGCCTAAGTACATATCTATCACTGGAGTCTCAGGGTATACCCCCAGGGGACTGCTCTGATGAGGCTTTCTCATACTCGGGATTCACGGGAGGCTTGTCTGAGCTATCAGAATGCTCACATTACTATTACTATCATCAGTATCATCATCACTCTGTGACAGGATCTTGCTTTGGGACGCAGGCTAGAGTGCAGTGGAGTAATCAGAGCTCATTGCAGCCTCCATCTCCTGGGCTGAGTGATTCTCCCACCTCAGCCTGCCCAGTAGCGGGACTATAGGAACATACCACCACACCGTTTTTTTTTGTGTGGTTTTTTTTTTTTTTTTTTTTAAAAGATGGCCTCTCTCAGGATCTGGAGGAATTTGCTTTAAAAAAAAAAAAGAGAGAGAGAAACAAAAGTAGAGATAGTGCTTTGCAATGTTGCTTAGGCTAGTCTCATACTCTTGGGCTCAAGCAGTCCTCCTGCCCCAGCCTTCCAAAGTGCTAGGATTACATCATAAGCCACCGTGCCCAGCACAGAATGCTCATTTTTAAGATAGTAATTTCTAATCTTACATCTCTGGAGGTCAAGTTTTCAGATGCCTCAATAACTGAGTCACAAAATGAAAATTAAAAAGAGAAATCTCCTGTAATCCTAGTGCTTTTGGGAAGCCCAGGTGGGAGAACTGCTTGAGGCCAGGAGTTTGAGACCAGCCTGGTCAAACAGTGACACCCATCTCTAAAAACAAAACAAACAAAAAAATTAGGTGGGCATGGTGCTATGCACATGTACTCCCAGCTACTTGGGAGGCTGAGGCGGGAAGATAGGTTGAGCCTAGGAGCTCGAGGCTGCTGTGAGCCACCGTCAGACCACTGCACTCCAGCCTGAGTGACAGTGTCTCTGAAATTTACAAAAAAATAAAATAAAAGGAGAGAAATCATTCTAAAAAAAAAGCCCTTGTACACTGTGCTGTGGGAGAGGAAGGAAAGCCACTGTCCTGAAGTCTAGGGGCGAGGGCTGCAGCTGGGACTTTGGCAGCACAGGCAGGGTGATGGAGCACAATGGTCTCTAGTCTGGGGTGAGTGTGTAACGAGGCAGTGCAGTTGGCTGAGCAAAGTCTTTAGCTGGTCATCATGACGAGGCCAGATAGGCAGGCACTAAATAAAACTCGCAATATTCTGTGGGCAGGGCAGAACCCACTGGAGATACTCAATGCTTTGCAGACACTGGCACAGCAGCATCTAAGCATGACATTTAGGACATTAAGCATGACATTCAAGGACATTTAGAAGCTGGCCTTTGCCCATGGTTTGTGAGCCTCACCCATTCATTTAACAACTGTGTGTTGTGCATCTACTGGGTGCCAGACACTGGTCTAAGGCACTGAGCACCCACCAGGAAACCAAATGGACAACCCCTTGTCCTTGTGTATTGTACATTTTTGCTTCAATGGTCTTGTCTCTACTGAGCTAAAATGGACTTTGTACCCTGCTATTTATGTCCTCCCTCATGCAAAGGGATTCAAATAAAGCAATTGGAAAAAAAAAAAAAAAAAAAAAGGTGGGAGGGACGAGGGGATGAGAAGAAGCTTGGTGTAGCAGGAAGACCTGCAAAGACCTTAACCTTGGCTCTGGATTCCAATCCCAGCAGTTCACCAGCTGTGTGGCCCTGGGCAAAGCCCCTCATCTCTCTGAACTTCAGTTCTCTCATCTGTAAAATGGAACTAATACCAGCATCATGAAGAGGATCCCTGAGATAATGTGCAACACTTTGGGCCTGGCCAGGGGCAGAGAGAGTTCTCAATAAATAGAAGCTGGAGCTCAGCACTCCTCCTGCACTTCTCCTCTTCCCAGCCTTCCTCATCCTTCAAGGCTCTGCATGTCTTAACCCTGCCAATTGAAACCGAGCTGGTCAGAGTGAATGAGGGGTGGGAGGAAGCTGGTTTGAGGGATTAGGTGAGAATCTGCCACCCTTCCCGGCCCCAGGGCCTGGCTGTGCAGCCGTGCATGTGAGCAGATACAGCACAGACACAGCACAGGCCACATCTCTGGCCAGGTGGGATTCAGCTGGGCCTAACTGGAAACAGCAGCCCTGCCTCAGCAATCCCTGCATTTGGTAAGTGTGGAAGGAATTACCCCATTCTTGCCAAAATCAAGTCTGCCTGAAAATAATTAGCCGTGGCTAGAAGAGATGATAGGGAGGGAGAATACAGTGTTTGGGCATATAAAACGCAAGGGGAAAAAGAGAAACCCCAGTGGGCCCCATGGCCAGGGCAAGGAGGGTCTCATCTCCAGTGATGAAATCTTTAAAAACTATTTTTAAGGAGGGCCTACTCTTCCACAGACTGGTGCCCCCTAGCCAAGGCCGATGTCACTGACCACAGTAACTCTTGCTGCTCAGCCCAGATGCTACTTCAGAATCCTCCTTAACCCAGTGCACCAGGTAGTAGTACCAAGCAGGCCAGAGGCGACATAGGAAACAGAAGCCTGTTTGCTAGCCCTCCACAGACATCCTCTCATTTCACCCTTATAACAGCCCGAGGAGACAGCTAGTACTGTCCTGCCTGATCAATAAGGGCACTGAAACTTGTGGAGGGCAAGTGACTTACCTACAGTTTCTCTGCCTCTAAGTGTCAGAAGTGGAATAGGAATCCATCCCTGGCACTCTTGAAGACCCACTCTTTCCACTACATCCCCCTGCGCCTTCTAACAGTTCTTTGTTCCAGGGCTCTCGGCCTGCCACCAGCATTGCAGGCACCCAAGCCCCGGCCCTTGATTGCAAATCTGCCTGCATGAGGGTCTGGACACCAGAAAACCCTACCCACGTGGGCCAGGGACCTTGGCGGTGTTAACCTCTTGAAGCTTGGGCATGAGCCAGTCTTGGCCACTCACACTCCTCCCTGGAAGACGCTCACTGATCTGTCCTCTGCCCTCCCAGACTCTGATATCCACCACTTCCACTGGGCATTCCTGACCAGGGAAAGCTGAGAGGCATCCAGGCTAGCATGGACAGCAGCCCCATTTCCAGCCCCTGGCAATGCCCCGGCTGGACACTTTTGCCGGGGAGTCTAAATGTTTATGTCTGCCAATGCAGTGGGAGGGATGGATTTATTTAGCTTTGGAGTGCAGCATGTTTCCGATTATAAACTGTCCAGCCAGGCCCCCAGGAAGGCTGGGATCTGCAGGCTTCCCTCCCTGCCCCCAGCTCCAAAAACTAGAAGCCCCAGCAAGGCCCTGGAAAACCCCTGGATTGAGAGGCTCTGCAGCAAGATGGTCAGTTGATCAGGCGGCTATAGTGCATCCACAGAATAGGAAGGAAAGGGAGAAGAAATTCAGTACACATACCAGGCTGGATTCTCTGCGTGGTGGAGGTCTTGTCCGTAGGTTTGGGGAGCCTAGAAGACACATGGTTTCAGTGATCCCAGTCAGACAATGGGCAACAGTGCCTATACCTGCCTTCCTTAGGTGAAATAACTCCTGATCCTTGCAAGTTCATGCTTTTGCTCAGCCTTTATGAAGGACTTGACGCTCTAAGTTACTATGGGCACTATAGTTGGGCTTCTTCAAGGGGAAACTGTAGACCTTTACCTTGGCTGTGCTGCCAGGGGATCTATGAACCCTCTACAGTTATGTGCACTTTTCAAAATCTGCAGATATGTGGGCATTTTTCAGGGTAAAGGATGTATAGCTTTATCAGATTTTCAAAGTTAGGAGCACAGACCATGTCTATTTTTTGCTCAGTGCCAGGCAATAGGAGGTGCCCAATAACTGTTTCCCAGCTGGTTGCCTAAAAGATTTCGGGCATGAGAGCTAACTTAACCCAGTGGAGCAAAACCAAAGAAACAGCTTTCCTCCAGATTTTAAGAATGGCTGGACACAAACAAAAGCTAGGCTCCTATAACACAGAAGTTTTAAGACACAACAAAAGGCAATATTGGGCCAGAGATGGAGGGTGCCAGATTGCCCGGAGTCTCCTGTAGGAATGAGGTGATTCTTGAAGAACGCCCTGTTGAAACTGCCTGTACAGAGTGGTAAAGCCTTAGCTTCCAAGTCTTTTAGGTTTCCAGTAACCAGTGGAAAGTCACAGGGAAGGAGCTGCTAAGGCCCAGAAAGATGTTTCGCTACAGACTGTCACTCCACAGAGCAGCCGTGCATACAGCGCCCACATTCAATAGCCTAGGGAAATGTCTTTTTTTTTTTTTTTTTTAAGTCAGCTACACATCATCTATCTTGACTTATAAAGCCTTTACTATAAGCAAAAGATGGGTTTCTTGTTGTTGGAACACGTGTATCTGCAGAGTAACCATTGGTGGCTCTCCAGTAGAGGAGGGAACACTATCACCTACATCCTCATGTGATTTAGCTTCTGTGGAGCAGATGGGAGCCCCTGAGTCATCATACTCCTCTGCCTTCCCATTCCTGTGATGAGCAAGACACATTTTGACAGAGTGCGGGTCAAAGGCCAGTCTAAGCCCAGGAGGAAAAAGCCATGGGGGTCCTGCACCCCCCCCCCCACACTTTCATGCACCCATGCTCATTCTCTAAGGAGCTTTACAGTGAGGACCCAGGGGAGAGAGTCTCTTACTTATCTGGGCCCGCTGAGGGGCAATCCTGGCCACAGCTGGAGAGCCCTGGGCAAACCTGGAGACAGTCCTGTCTGGGATGCCCACAGCACTGCCATTGGAGGCATTGCAGAGGATGGGCAGGCTGATTTCCTTCTTGGCAATGGGGGCCTCGTGGCCTTCGCCTTCAGCTGGTGGGGTTTCCTTGTCCCCAGAGGCCTTCTTGTTCAGCAGGTTGCTGATCTCCATGATGTTCCCAATGATCTCCACTGGGCCGGCCAGGTTCTTCTTCCGGGTTGGCAGGTCGTCCTTGGCCTTCTTTAGGTAGGAAGCTGGCGCCCAGCCCTCTTTGCCCAGGTATCTGGGGGGAGGAGCAGGATGACCTTACACCCACTCCCAGACCCTAGGATCCATTTGGCCTTGCCCAGCGGAGCCTTCCTTACCATGTTCTGCAAGGCTTGGCAATCCCACTACTCTGGAGAGAAATGGCACCAAGGGTAGGTGGAAAAGACCCAGAACACCAGTTCCCGCTGCTGCCCCATTGCGCTCCTTTTTCTTTGCCTGATCGCTCTTGGGGTGGGCTCTCACTCTCTGCAAAGTCAGGCAAACATGGGAGCTTGGGATCAGACCTATCAACTTTTGGGTTGCCCCAAAGGAGGACTTCATAATGGCCTGCTACTTCCCAATCAGTTGAGGAGAACTGGAGAGAGAAACGAGAAGGTGTGGCTGTGGTATGCAGAGTTAAATCCCCTATAGGAAGGGAAGGGATTAGAGAGGGAATTGATTCCACAGGTGAGAGTCAGGCAGTCTGAGTTCTAGTCTATGGCACCTTGCACAAGTCCCTTCCATGGAGCTCAGTTTGTGTCTCTTTTGCAAGATGCAGGGATAGAGTCACTGTTAAAAATGTATCCAGAAGGATAGACACATTGAGACCAACTAAGATGTTTCCAAAGAAGGCTGACTGAAGGGGAGAGCTGTGGTGCCACCGCAGGGACAGTAGTTGGATCCTCTATAGACTGTCATAGACCACGTTCATAAGCCAGGCTCAATTTAATGTAGTGGAACAAGGATGCATTATTCAATAAATGATTGGGGACTGGGCGAGGTGGCTCACACCTGCAATTCCAGCACTTTGGGAGGCTGGGGCAGGAGGCTCACTTAAGGCCAGCCTGGGCAACATAGTGAGATCTTGTCTGTACCCCCCAAAAACTTTTTTTTTAATTAGCTGGGTGTGGTGGTGCATACCTGTAGTCTCAGGTACTCAGGAGGCTAAGGTGGGAGGATTGCCCAATGCCAGGAGTTTGAAGCTACAGTGAGCTATGATTGTGCCACTGCACTCCACTCTGGGCAACAGAGTGAGACCCTATCTCCAAAAACATAATGAGTGGTCTGAGGAAAACTGATGACCCAGTTAGGAAAAACAAGACAGACACTGACTTTACACCATATAGCAGGATAAAAAAATAAAAGATTGACGTATTGCTGGGGGTTGAGAAAGTCTATGTGGGGCTCCAAAAGCAGAAACCATAAATGAAAAGACAAAAGCACATGACTAGATAAAATGCAAACCAAAGCAAAACAAAACCAAAAACTCATAAATGAAGGCAAAAGGCGGAGCACAGGGCGGACTTGATTTCTGGTGATTTCGACGACTTCTGAAGACAAGCTTTTCCTTTTTTCCCCCATGGTGTTGAGTTTTCACCCAAACCCATGGGGACTTCACTTCCTGGTCCAGTAGTTGTTGGCCAATACCCTCAGGTCTGGGTTGCAATGTCCCCATCTGCTCTCCAGAACACATCTGGCTCTTTGGAATGACTCCTCCATGCCAGATGTCTGAAAACCTCCCCGTCTCCCTGATCTGATCTTGTTCTTGGACACTCATTAGGTGGGAGAAAAGGAAAATGAAAGCTGAAGTTCCTATCGACCTGTCTGAGCTTTGCAGAAAAACTACAGGTAGGAGGTAGCTTCTTACGTTCATGTCACAGAAACGTGCAGGCAGGCTGACCCAAGCGTGCCTTCCCAGGGATTGGGAGGCAGAGGAGAGTTAACACGTGGCTGAGAGTCAGGGGCCTGTCTTGGCTCCTTGATGCAATGAGTGCAAATGGAAGCACAGAATTTTAAGGGTGGATGGGAGCAACTAGTAAAAATACCTAATCTTCATGTGAGCCAACAGCCATGGCTCAGAAAAGCAAAGCAGGCAGCAGAGGGTCACACAGCGAGCTCTTAGCAGCATGTGGCCCACAGCCTGGTGCTCTTGCATCTTGGAGAAGAGACAAAGATGAGCCCACTGGCCCTCGCTGATGGTTCTTCTACATGGACACTGTAGAGCTATGGGGAAAGGGGGCTCATGGAGGTGATGGTCAAGCCTGCTTAGGGCCCCGAGTGCTCCTATTTATGTTCCTTCAGTGCTACATGGGTAAAATCAGATTTCAGGAGAAGAAATGCGAGGGAATCAGGAGTGGCTGTGTGTGTCTGGGTCCAGCTCTGCTCACATCTGCTTTCCAGCTCTGGAGAATGAAATGACTCCAGAGGGAAGCAAGCTGGAAAAGGTGCGATGGAGACAGAGACAGAGAGACAGAGAGAGAGAGAGAGAGCGCGCTTGTGCGTGTGTGTGTGTGTGTGTGTGTGTGTGTGTGTGTGTAGGGGTGGGGGAGGAGAAGAAAGGAAATGAGGATCAACGCAGAGCCTGGAATGTTGGGAAATGGCATGTTTAAAGGGGTGTCTGGCAGCCTTCTTAAGGTAGAATCCTTTCAGCAGCGTTTTCTCAATCCAAGCTCCCGCTGGCTGTAAGACTAGGCCATGGGGACAGGAATTTACTAGAAGCAGCTCAGAGTGACTTTGTTGGTTATTTTAGAAAAATAAAAAATAAAATGATGAAGCAGCCTTGTAGATAAGCTCCAGGCAAGTGAGCTAGGCCACCAGCCTGCCAGAATCTTTCCTGGCTTTCTCATGTGAGACTCGTGGCTGGCAGATTATTGGGTTGGCTCTAGTTTCTATTGCTTAGAGAACATAAAAGTCTAGGGGCAGTGCCTTTTGACAACACACGTCCAGATGCACAGTCCCATCCCGCCCAATGGGACAGAAAGGGACGTCTCAGCCCTCCTAATATGCGCCAGGACTCTGAGGTGAGGCAGGGTAGAGGCAGCGTGGGTGGCGAGTGTGATGGAGCCATGTTCCATCAGGTCACATTAAGGTGCTATCTCCTTATGTCCAGTGACCTCAGCATGGACTAGGCTTTAAAGCCATCATGTTGTATCATGTTCTGAGTAACTGTCCCATGAGTACTCAAATTGCCTGGGGCATGGTGATGCCACTACACAATCCTGTCCTCTCTGTGGGAAACCACCTAGAATGCATGTCCTGCCCACAGTGGGTCTGGGGTCCCCAGAGCCCATGGATATGGGACTGTCAGCTGGGTAAGTGGCAGAGAAGACAGAATGTGGGCAGTCATCACAGCAGAGCCAGTTTCAAGGATGCTAAAAGCGTTTCCTGAGAGCAGGGGTCCTGGAAGGGCAGGTCTTGGCAGGGTAATGGTGAGTGAAATCCACAGGATTGTTGGCTTCCAAAAGATCAGGAAAGACTCCACTTCCCTATCCAGACCCTTAAATAGGATTCTAGGCTGGGAACTGTGATTAGGCCTGGGAGAGGGAGGGGCAAGAGAAGGAAGAAGCCTCTGATGGCCTGAGCTGAGGCCTGACTTCTGCTTCAGCCCTTGCAGCCAGCCCTGCAGTTTGGACGGCCAGTCCCTGTCCACCAGGGACATGGCTGCTATAGGCCTGCATCTGTGCCCGCCCCTATCCCCGCAGCACACCTCTCTGAGTGCTGAGCCTAGGCAGCAGAGGCTGCCTGCTGGGACCTCAGGAAGGCCTGCGGACGCCAGTGCTCCAGGCAGCCCTAGCTGCAGAGCAGGCCAGGCAGCCAAGGCCGGACACACAAAACCAAATTCAGATGTGCTGAACTCTTGGCAGATGCGTGGGAAGGGATTGCACCACAGCCTGCAAGCTGAGCCGGGGCCTCTGTGCCCCGCTGGCTGTGGCTCAAGCTCTGCTTTGTGTGTCCCGGGAGAAAATGTGCAAGATGAGCACTCTCTGGTTGAGCTGTTCAGCTGTGCAGAGGTGGAGCAGCCAGCCTTGTGCCGTGGGCACAAAGCTGTCAGTATCTACCTGCCGTCAGGTGGCCACAGCCACTTTGCACTCTGCCCAGGGCCCAGGTGGGTGAGAGGCACCTCTTTCATCCAGCTAAGTGTTCCCTACCTGATATACCACCAGCCTTCCAGATTCTTCCGGATCACCTCCACTGTGACGCCCTTCTCAAAGCCAATCTCGTCCTTGCTTTGGCTGGTGTAAGGCTGCACAGTGACATACTTCTCCTCTGGGGGTGGGAGCAAGAAAGCAAGATTATTTGAGGTCAGGGTTGGAGGTCCTGCTTCCTGTCCCCTCCTCCTGCCCTGGCCTGGCCTTTGCTCAACAGCTTGCCAAGGTGCACTGGGTTGGCTCTGGCTTCTCCAGGGGAGGGAAGGACCAGGCCTCAGATGTAGCAGCAGGGAGACCATGGGAGCAGGGGTCACTGTTGCTCCCAGTGTGTACCAAAGCCAGCTAGGACCCAGGTTGCCAGGCAAGACCCTGGGAGCAGGGAGTTGGCTCTCCTAGCCTGATAATGGCAGCTACGCTGCTGGGACCATGCAGTCCATAGGGCTGCAGACGCTTGCTGGGCTGAGGGCAGGATTAGGAGAAGCCAACCCCTCCTGAGGTGTCCTCACATGCCTGCGGCCCCATGGCACACCTCCTCTCCTTGAAATGTGCTGTTTCATCTGTGTCCCAGACAGACTTTCCTAGCCCTGCCCCCAGCTCAACCTCTTGCTTGGATCCTTCCTCTGTCTGACCTGCAGAGGCTCTAGGGACACCTCCTTGGTGAAGCCTTCCCTGAGCACCCAGCTTATCCATTAACACCTGGTCATGTAATCTCCCAAGAGGAGTCCACAGAACCCAAGTCTCATGGGAGCGGTTATATGTTTTGTTAAGACAAGGGTTTGATGGCTGAATGAGCGTGGTGACACCCAGCACAGCAGTTAGGCAGCACCCCAGTCCTTACGGGTCCAGTGCGCCCAAGTGGCTTCTGCAGGACATGCTGTGCCAAGCACACAGCCAAGGCACAGCTCCTCTGGAGGGCAGCCTGCTGTTATTTCCAAGGATGTCACTTCAGGGTCTTGCCCAAGGTCTTCCTTAGGCACTGGGGAAGTGCCTTGCAGACTCTCAGGAAGGCTTGGGAGGGCAGGTGTGGGGAGAGGGGGCACCATGCTGTCTCCCCTGGTTTCTCTCAGCCTCCCTCTTGGGTCCTTGATCAGGCTTCCAGGAGGGTGTTTCTTCCAGGCCTGCTGAGGTCCAGCTCTGCCTGTCCCAGGAAACCCCTCGCAGGTAGACCCCAGAGCTGAGTACTCCCTGGCTCTGCTTCTAGCTGGCTGACACCCTCTGTAGAGGTCTGCTTGGGGTGGAACATTCCCCCACCTCACCCTCTGGGGAAACAAGGAGCTAAGACAGGAGGAGGAAGAAGCGGCAATCTGGCCATGCCCTTCTGGAGGGTCACCCTGAGCCCGTGTTGTCCTCTCTGGCCTGGGAGCTCCCCAGGGGTTGAGACAGTGCCTGGCAAACAGTGGGAGACTGTTGACTGCATCACGACCAGGCAAGACTGAGAAAGGGTGCTGATGGGAAGTGCTGCAAGCTCAAAATGGGGATGCTGGTGCAGACTGCTGGCCTCTGGTCTCTGGGACACCCGCCCCTCCTGGCTCCCGGCTGTGACGGCCACCCCTGGATTCCTCGGCTGGAGACGCCGCCAGGCAGCCTGCCTGAAACTGGCTGTAGTGAGGGTGGGAGGCAACTGCCACCCCAACCCCCAGCTGCAGGAGGGCCATCTGTCCACTGTCCCCTGGATTATCGGGTCCTGTCTGCAGCCCTGTGTTGAGCCAAGATAGCAGTTCCCTTTGGGGTGGTTGTGGCTGCCTGGCTGGGCTGCAAGAATGGAACTGATGGGCCACTAGCCAAATACAGATGGCCGCCCAAAAGCAGAAGGTGGTGATGACCCATGGAGCCTGCAGGATTCTTCAGCACGCCCTTCTCTGCTGCAGAACTTGGTCAGCATCAACCCAGGGAGGGCCTTACTCTGGAGGCTTTCAGATTCCAACCCAGCCATGCTTCGGACTGTTGCCAAGGCGGCCTGAGAACCCTGCCCAGCCAGATTCTGACTCGGCCCTTTGAGAAGTTCAGGGCTCCACAGTCCAACTCTCCACTCTCCTGCCTGCTCCTGGTTCTGCTCCATTTTCCAGTGAAGCATGGCAAATCCCAGCCTAGTGGCGGCCAGAGGGGCAGTGCCACACTCTGGGAATCCAGGATTCTGAGGTTAGGATGAGGCGAGGCCTGGGCTCCACATTTTGCCTTTGTCCAGCTGGGCTATTTTTAAAGCCTGTGGTTCGAGCAGGAAGCCATCATTAAGGTTTTCCTAGGCAAGGTTGTATTTGCAGGGAGAAATGACAGCCCTTCTCGTGGGAAGATCAGAGGAGCCCTGCCTGCCTCATGGCAGAGAACAGGGTCTAGACCATCTCATGTGGGCTCAGCCTCCTAGGCCACCAGGGCCCAACCCTAGCCTTCGCAACCTCCTGGGGTGCGTGGAAGACAGAATCCCATGGGCCATGTAAGCTCAGGCTTTCTCCTGAACTCTTGGGGGTAGTGGCAGAACCAGGGATATCAGTTCTGGCTGCTGAAGTTGAGCTGCTCCTGCAAAAGGTTCTTGGGGGCCCTGGGGCTACAGCAGCCACAGATGTCCAGGAGTTCATGTGCTGCTGCTGAGAACTCCTGGCTGGGAGGCTCATCCTGCCCTGGTCACTGCACAGGTTCCAGGGATGAGAACTCAAGAACCCTCTTGACTGGCAGGGCAAGGCAGCCAGACAAGGTCTTCCCAGCTCCTGGGTTTCTACCCAGTTGGCTCAGATGGCAGAGGCATGGACTTTCCATGTGGACATGGGCCTTGTGGGTCTCAGGCCTTCCAACTCACAAGTGTCCTAAGGGAGAGGCACTTGCCTGGGCCACAAATGCCATCTGGGGGCACCAGACAAGAGAAGTCCCAGACAGATAGACATGGCCTCAGTGGGCAGCTGCATGACTCAGGGTGGTCAGGGTCTCTGGAAGAGACGTCCTTTCAGAAATGGGGTTGAGGGAAGGGAGGCTGTGAGCTCTAGTGGGCTCTTCAGGGCTTCTGGGAAGCACTGGGGCTGTGGGCACTGACCACGCCACCAGGAGACAGTGGCAGTCTGCCCTGGGGAGGGCTGGCCAGGCGGTCAGCCGGGTGGGTGGGTGGGGGATGGGAACAGGCCTGCTTTGGTTTTGGAGGCAGGGGCTGGATGCTCTGCTGTTTCCAAACCACAGAAGCCTCCTCTCCCCAACACTTTCCCCTCTGTCAGCAGTCTCCCCACTCCCCTCCTGCCCCCACAACTTACCCAACCCCACTGAGAAAGGCCTTTTGGTTCCAAGGGGCTGGCTGGCTGAGGGAACGGGAGCGGAGGCCATGGGGAAGCTCAGCTTTTCTCTTGTCTAGCTCCTCCACGACCTGCAGCCTGCCTCCCCCACCAGCTCTGCTGCTTGCAGCAAGCATCTCCCAGCCAACCCTCTGCCAGTTTTTCTTGGCTGCCTGGTTTAACTTAGCCCATTGGGCTGAGGCTGGGAAATTATGTTGTTTAGGTCTCTTATTTAAGAATGTGAAAGAGAGAGCACAAGAGCCGGGGGCTTACATTTGCTTACAATTCTTAGGACCAAGAATTAGGCATTTCATTGCATATTTGTGTCTCCACGTGTCACTGTATGTCTGTGTCTGGGATATATGTAGTGCAGGGTGTTGTGTATGAAGCTGTATGTGTCCCTGTGAGTGCTGCTTCGGAGGTACATGTGATGTGGCTGTGAGCAGTCAGTTGTGTGTACGATGCATCTGTGACTGTAAACAGCAGACACAGGGCACAGGGTATGTGTAGCTGTATAATTGTACCTTTGAGTGGCTGTGAGCCTGGGACTGTGGATGCATCGGTGTCAGGGAGGCTGGCTATGACAGGGCACGCAGTCATACCTGGGGCCATCAGGGCTGTGTGTGTGGTAGAGCTTCTCTGGCTGCGTGTGTCTGGGGGGTTGTAGAGAAGGTCGCGTTTGGGGCCCAGTGTGTGAGGGTGTTTGGAGCAGGCCAAAGCTTCATCCCTGCTGCGCACTTCCAGACCCACATCCCACTCTCTTTTGCCACCAAAGCTTGGGCTACATCCCAGCTTTAGGGTGGCCTTTGCAGTATGTCCGGCCTGTTCTTGCTGCTTCTACAACTCGGCCCCCAGCCCTTTGTCAGCCCATAGGTTCAGCCCAGGCCCTGCCCTCAGGACAAGCTGGACTCCTCTTGGCCAGTGCTCCATGCCTGATGCTGAGCCAGCCAGAGGCTGGAGCCACCTGAGTCCAGGCTTTCTTCTGCCTTGGGCCTGGGGCAGACAGCGAAACATGCTCTTATGGTCATTTAGAACCAAACTGTGAGGGTGGAGGGCACAGGGTGTCCCTGTGTTCCAGAAAGGCCAGGGTTTATGACACACCTCTCTGTGTCGTCACCGAGAGCCGCACACACACCCTGTTCTATGTGGGGCTGGCCAACCCCTGGCCCAAGGGGTCTGCAGATGTTTAGGGGTTTATTCAGCAGCCCAACCCTGGGGGTTTGTTCTGCTCCCTTACCTCTCAAGTTCCTGAATGTTATAAAGATCCTGGGTGAGAAAATGCTAAACCCCCAAACATCTGATTAGCCCATGTGCCAGGTCTGGAGCCCCCTTGGACTCCCCTGGATCAGGCCCTTCCAGAGGCCCCAGAAGTTACTGCCTCTGGCTGGACCTGACCCCTCAGCAGAGCCCACTGGACCGCACCCTGGTGCCAGGCTAGGTCTGGCTTTGCTCCCTTTCTAGTTTCTGTGGAGCTGGTCCTTTCTGCTTTGTTCCCAAGCAACTGATAAGACAACTTTGGCCGAGGGAGGCTTTTCTCAGAGGACGGAGGCCATGAAGGATGGGGGAGTGGGATGGCCCAAGCAGAGGGCTAGACATGCTTAGTTCCTTTAATCTACAGCTTCCAGGGCCAGTGTGACCTTCCTGAATGACCCAAGACTCCCTTGTCCCCCTCTTCAAGCCCGTGTACCTTTTCAGGGAACCCACAACTGTGTTCCATGACCCTCAAACCCAAAATGTTGACAGAAGCCAGAGCCACCCCCAGTGCCAGCCCAATTCCCAAGCAGGCCCGCCCCACACCAGCTGCAGTAGATGAGAAAAAAGCCTGACCCATGAATCTGGGTGAATGAGGCACAGGGCAGAGAACAGAGCCCAGAAAGAAAGAGCAGTGTTAGCGAGAGACAGGCGGTTGCTGCAAGGGAGGAGAAGCCAGCTCCCGCAGTCACCTCGGCTGTGCTGCCTGTTGACCATCCCGCCCAGGGTCCACCGGCGATCCAGGCGCCGCAGATGGGCCTTGCGTCTCTTGGACACTGGTGTGGGAGATGGCGATGGAGCATGCGGCCAACAGCAACCGGCGAAGAGAATGGAGATGAGCATGAGATGGGACGGGGACAGGAGGAAAGGGCATAGGGAGGGGAGGCCCGCACTTCCAGGTCACAATCACCTGGACTGAACCAGAGGGCACGCCCCTGTTGGATGGGGCAGATATGACAGATGATTGTAGGCACATGGGGAAAAATTCAACCAAAGCAAAACTCCCCAGTGTGTGCCCCTGAGCCTAGGAGTGGGCTAAAGCCTTTATAATCCCAGCACCTTAGCAACAAAGATGTCCCTAGCTCCAGCCCAGTGCAAGGCAGCTCCTTAGCTGCAGCCTCTGGGGATGGTGAGATCAGTGTCCTCACTGCTGGACGGTGCTGATTCCCAGGAGGGTTAGGGGTCCTGCAACATCTGTGCTTATGTCCACTCGCTCACTGAGTACTGACTGTGAACACGCTACCCTCGACAGGCACCATGATGATGGAAGCAGCAGTGTGCCCAAGAGAGGCTTGGATCCCTTCCTTGCAACCCAGAGGGCTGAGAGCTCTCACCACTCTGGGTTGGTTTGCATCTTTGCTTTCTTGCCTGTCCCCACTGGATGAGTCTGTTGAGGGCAAGAGCTTTGCCCCATGTCTCAGCGTTCCCAGGGTCTAGCACATGGCCGGGCACATGGCGAGGTCCCAGGAAGTGCCTGCTGAACGGAATGACACAAGGGTGGGTGCCACAGGCCCCAGCTCTGCTCCTCCCCTCAGGCCACCCACTGGGACATCTGACATCAGGGGCCTCCCTCCCCAGCTTCTCACTGCTCCTGACTCCGTGCCTTGGGCAGCATCCTGCACTGCGCCCCTGGTGGCTGCTGCTTGGCTTCAAGCCCCCTGCACCCTCTGCTCAGACCCCAGTTACAGATGCCTCTGTCTTCCTTTGGGACTCCCAGTGGAATGGACGCTGGGCCAGGGCTCCAGGGTGCCAGCTGGCCTCATTTCCTGGCACCACAGAAAGAGGGTACCAGGCTGCCCGGCCATGGCTAGAGTGAAAATAAAACTGTCCCAGACCCACGTGGGCCCTGGGAAAGCATTTGCTTTCCTGGAAGGAGAGGGACCTGTCTGACCTGCTCTTATGAGAAGGAGGGCTGGACAAAAGGCTAGGAGGTGTACATTCCAGTCCAGGACCGACTGCCAGGAACCTGTGTCACTCTGGGAGGACGGCCATCCCTCTCTAAGCCTCTCCTCATCTGTCTTAGAGTGACACCACCTGCCCTGGCGAGCTTAGACGAGGGGCTGAAAGGGCTCTGGGGAACATTAATCAGGTCCTGTGCAAGGCCTCCCGGTGGGGAGGGGGAACAGGTGTGTAGGGCTTCTCTGGAGAGATGGAGGGGTTCGGCTAATGTCCAGACCAGGGGCTGCTTTCACAGTAAGTGGCGTTTACTCTGTGTACCAGGCCCAGTTTAAACCCAGTACAAGGATCATCTCACTTGGGCCTCACAAAAGCCCTATGTGGTTGGCATCTTACAAATGGGGAAATGGAGGAACAGGGCTTTAAGGAACACTCTGGGTCACATGTCTGTGTATCCAGGCAGCATGTGAATCCAGGCAGCCTGGTTCCAAAGCCCAAACTCTTACCACAGACTCTATACCCCGAGCTATTGCTCTTCCTCTAACTCTGCTTCCCCTTGAGCTGCCAAGCCCTGGAAAGAGGGGGTGTGGGGAGGGGACAAGGTCTGGATGCTGGGGAATCTGCTCACTAGCAGGGCACATGCCCTTGGTGCAGGAGCACGGAAGACCGTGGTCTGTCCATGTCCCGATATGAGCCCACCCTGGAGGAAGCAGGTCCACACTGGTAGGTGTGGGACACAGGAGCAAAGGCAGAGACTTGGGTTCTAGTCTTGGCTCTGTCACAAATGAACCTAAGGGCTTGGCAGAGGTGACACACCTCTCCTGGTTCACTGAACCACCTTGCGAATGAATGTCAGGCTTGGACCCGCACCTCTGTCAGTGGACAAGAGTCTCAACTCCCACCCTTACTACTAATGTACTAAACTCCCACAGCACACCTGGCTTCAAGAGCAGCATGAACATGCACCAGAGAGTCTCATGGTAAGGATAAACGGGAACAGCTACTCATGTTTTCTTCCCAAAGTAATGAAACATGAGCTATTACGAAAGCTTTGATAGGATGCAGGCTTCCAATTTCTAACCGCAGGGCTCGGGGCACCTACGATGTGATGGCCACAGTGCCAGGGTAGAGATGGTTGGAGGGAACTAGGGTGGCCAATCTCTTGGCCATGTGGCTGCAGGTGCAAGAGACTGGTGGACACACCACAGCAGCTGGGGCCTTAGGCCCAGGGGACCATCCCCAAGCCCTTCTGTAGATCTTAGTGGGAAATACCCAAGACATGATGGTGGAATCCACAGCTATCCAGAAGAGTTGCCAGGAGTGTTGGCACACGGGCTGGATCAGAGCCTCGCAGAGGAACCTATTTTAGGAGAATCACCCTGGGCGTACGTACACACACACACACACACACACACCCCCACACACACACGCAGCCTCTGAACGCAGAGCCTGCACTGTTGCCTGATTCTTCCTCCATCAAGGTAAAAATACTGCACAACCCACTACTACTTGTTCTGTGCAAGGCACCTGCTCTCTGTTCCATCCAGGCTGGCATCTGTGCTCCCCGCCTCTCAGGCGCTTTCCTGCCCTGGACTACTGGCCACTCGGTGCCTAGGTCCTCCATAATTGACCCAACAGCTCCACTCTGACCTTGCTGGTGCAGCCTTTTCAACTGGGGCTGTGATTCATACACACATTGCCCTAGAGCTGCCTGTACTGTTAACAAGCAAAATGCTTACAGGGAGGCATGTGGCACAGTGGTGAGGACCACGGGACAAAGGAAACGGACTAGGGTCCGAATGCGATAAACATCTTGAAGCCTCAGTTCCCAAAGCTGGAAGAATGGGGACAAATCATAGCCACAGGGTCCTCCCAGGGTGGGGGCAAGGCATTTCAGGACTGGCCTAGCACCTGTACCTTTGGTACTTTGTGAGCCCCTGCTGTTTGTGAGAGGCCCTGGCATGCCCCGTAGAATGTAGAACTAGGGGCCAGGCACCGTGGCTCACACCTGTAATCCCAGCACTTTGGGAGGCTGAGGTGGGCAGATTGCTTGGGGTCAGGAGTTCAAGATCACCCTGACCAACATGGTAAGACCCCCATCTCTACTAAAAACAAAAATTAGCCAGGCATGGTGGTGGGTGCCTGTAATCCCAGCTACTCGGGAAGCTGAGGCAGGAAAATTGCTTGAGCCCAGGAAGTGGAGGTTGCAGCGAGCTGACATTGTGCTACTGCACTTCAGCCTGGGTGACAGAGCAAGACTCTGTGTCAAGAGCAATAACAACAAAAATAATATGGAACTAGGTAGGAGGTGAGGCTGGGGACTGCAGGTGTATGAGACCAGACCTAGCTCAGGGGCCAAGATCCTCCCCTGCTGCAGAGATGCAATGGAGCCAGAGGAGAGACGGGTTCAGGCTCGGCCCCAGGGCTCAGGGAGCAGCCCAGCCTGAACATGTGGGCCCTTCCCAATGGGGCCTCAACCCTGGAAACCTGCCACACAGTGGATGCACAAGGCAGGGGCCAAGGCTCTGGTCAAGGGGCTGAAATAAAGCCTCAACATAGGAGGAAGGGCGAGGCCCCAACCGCCCGCCTAGTAACCGACATTTAGGGGAAGGATGAATAAGGAGCTGGCACTTGGTGGCTGCTTACTTTGGCCTAGCAGCAGGGAACAGGCGTGGAGGTGGCCTGAGCGCCGGGTGGCAACCTCGATCCTTCTGGCTTTCAGACACATTCATCTGGACCATCCCCATCGACCATTAGGGAAAGAATTCCTGCAGCCTGGCCATGGGAGGTGTGGAAGCCATTAGGAGCAGGCAGCCAGGAGCTGGGGGTGGTGCAAATGGACTGGCTCAGGCAGCCTGCTCTGGGGAGCACAGAAGCTATAGACAGGCCCAGGCCAGTGCTGGCTCAGGGGGCGGGGGCAGGCTCTTTGAAATGCATGGGGAAAGACCCTGAAAAACCTCACAGAGTAGTTTTTAAGTGTTTAGAATTAAAAAAAAAAAAAAAAAAAAAAAAGGAAGAGCTGAGTGCAGTGGCTCACACCTGTAATCCCAGCACTGTGGGAGGCCGAGGCATGTGGATAGCTTAAGCCCAGGAGTTTGGGAGCAGCCTGGCCAACATGATGAAAGTCTGTCTCTAAAAACAAAAACAAAAGCAAACAAACCTCACGGAGATAAAGCTAATTAGAGAGGCTGACTGTGTGGGGGTCTGAGCCATCCCTCAGTTCTTGAGCCCCTGAGACAGAGCAGCAGGGGTTGGACTGCGGTGGGAGGTGAGCTTCTGGGCCAGCCTTACTGAGATGGATCCAAGGGAAGAGGCTAGGATATGGCTCATCTCACTTTAGGGTTCTGCTGGTTCTAGGGAAAGAGTGGGAGAGCTGCCTCCAGAGGCCGTGTTGTTCCCCGCCCCTTGGACCTGCGAGCCCTCACCTTCTCCAGTCTTGGGGTTGATGTCGGAGTCATCCCGAGTACCATTCTGGGCCTCCAGGTAGGTGGCAGGGACCCAGCCCTGCTCCTCAGAGGTGCTCACGAACCACCAGCCTGCAGGGAGAAGAATGAACGGGGCTGTGAGAGACTGCAGGGTGGCAAGGGTGGCTCGGGGGCCAGGACGAGGAGGGAAGGAGAGGCACGAGAGGCAGAGCATGGAGCCAGACGGCCTGGGCACCCAGCAAATACCTGGCCCAGCTCCAGACTTGAGGAGCCTGAGTCTGTTCTAAGGCAGAAAAGACCAGCACACTCCCTAAGAAGTGGGACCAATAAACTGTGACCCACATGAACAAATGCTAGATTGAAAATGAAATAGACATAACGTTATGTCCAATGTGTGAAAATCCATCTTGCAGGAAAGGCCAAGGGAGTTTCGGCCATACAGAGAGGCCATTTATGGTCTTTCAAACCCATTAGGACGACTGGTTTGCTGGGAGTTTGGCTGGCTTCTCAGCTTTCAAAGGCATCCAGGCCAAGTGCCTCACAGCCTCCAACAGTCAACGCTGCCTTTTCCCATCACGGGTCAGTGGTACCTTCGCGTTGGCGCTACTCACAGCTATCCCTTAAGTGTGTTGATATTTCAGTCGCAGTAAGTGGGCACTGCATCCTCACATGATCCTTGATGATCATGGCCACATGATAAAGGCTCATTCTTCTTATTTGTTCATTCATACAAAGTACTTTGAGCACCCAGGTCTTGTGACTCCACTAACTGCCTTTGGTCCCTTCCAAGAAGGTCCTCCTCACAGGGTCCTGTCTTCCTCCTCAGCCCTTCTTCTCTGACACTTCTTTGCCCCCCACAATAATCTGGTACTGATTCTCTTTTCTGCTCATGGCCCAGCTCACCATTTCCTGTCTGGAGAACCCAGGGCTTCTCCCTGGGTAGCACCTGAGGCCCCATTACCATCCACTGCAGTGAGTGGCCACCCAAGGATGTAGGCAGAGGCATGCTGGTGGGGGAGCCTCTCAGGCACGCCCAGGTGGGCTCAGCACTGGGAGGTGGAGGAGGCTCCTGATGGCTGCTGTGAAGACAGTGGAGAGGAAGGGAACCGCCAGGTACCACTACGCAGTCATGACACAGTCATGGGGAGACTCAGGGACTCAGAACCCCAGCTTATCTCCTAGGTCTTCACTTAGGTCCCCACCGCCCCATACGACAGGTCTGGGCTTGCAAACAGCCAGTAGTCTAGTCCTGAATGCCCTCTGTCCCCTGCCCTTTCTGGGGAGTTCCACAACCCTCTGTGTGCAGCTCTGCAAAGCCCATGAAATGCCCTGGACCAGGAGTCTGGACTCTTGAGGTCGGTCCAGGCCTGTGTGGCTCAGGGGCCTTGGTTGGATCACTGCCTTTTTAGGGTTTTGGTGTCCTGTTATCTGGAGAGGCGTTATCTCTGAGCTACTGGCTCAAGTACCATGATCCAGGGCCCTGCAGACTGCCCCGCACAGACCGTAGACTCTGTCCCTCTCTGCCTGGGGTGAGAGGAGAGAAGTAACAGGATCACTTCCGGAGAATCCCTGGTCAAGCCCTCTGCTCCCCCTGCCCGTCTCGCTCCCCTAAGCTCTGCCAACCCTGGAGACCACAGCCTTTTCCTATGACACAATCCATACACACCTGGAAAAAGGCAGCCTGGGCCAGTGAGTCACAAACCATCAGTCAGGAAGAGCTGGGGATGTGCCCCCCACTGCAGGTGAAGTGAAGCCACTGGCCCGATTCCTCTATCTTCTGCTCTTGCCTCTGTGTCTCCCACATTGCTCACTTCTCAGACTGTCTGTTCCCCGGCAACCTACTGCCGGGTTTATTTCATAAACCTGTACACAGGTGAATGAGACACTGTGGCATGAGGGACTGCAGAGCCTTGATTGGACCTAGGCAGGCTGGCCTCTAACCCAACACTCTGCTGCCTGTGCAGGACCAGGCTAGGCAGGCAATCTCCAGCCATGAGAAGCCCCCACCAATTCTCAGGTAAACTCTACCCCTGAGCCCTGAGACCTCCTGCACTGGGGACATTGTTCTGAGGCTGGATGAGGGCAGGTGGGCATCCTTGGCGTGCTGGATAGTTCTCTGGATCACAGAAAAAGGTAGATACCTCTTAGGAGAGAAGCGGTGACCGGCAGGTGCTGGAACCCACTGGTTGGGGACAGGGCAGCATCCACTGGCAGGTCAGAGACTAGTGGACATATCACTAGTACTCATTGTCATTCCCCGGCCTCCAGGACAGGAAGTGGTTATTAGAGCACCAGCCATCTGTACTCACTCAACTTCTGGGTGATGAGACTGCTTCCAGGTGGCTTGTAATTATGGGAACTCAGGAAGGGTCCAGACCATGCTTGGGGCATGAAGTAAGTGCCCTTGAGAGCTAGCTACAGTGGGCACTGGATGCCCACACCGGGGCCAAGGTCAGCCTGGAGGAAGTGGTCTTTGGCACCTAGGGAGCCCCCACCTGACCTCTACTTGCACCTTGGGTGTTCTGACATTTGGATCAACAAGAGGTGCCATTCCTTCCACGTTCATCTATTGGGAGGAAAGCCAGTATGACCCATTCATTGACATGGTGGAAGGGGTTTCACTGTGTACTTCCCTTGACCAAGGAGAAGCCCAACCTCCACTAGCTAGTCAGGGAGTCCCAGGGCCCTGTCTCCATGAGAATGCCCAACAAGCTTTCCCTGAGGGCCTAGGCCTGTCCATTTTGGGAGAGGAGGGGAGGAGCAGCGATGGATGCAGGGAGCACTCAGCTGCCCCCTGGCCCTGGGCCTGGAGTGGATACCTGTTTTCATTCTCTCTGCCCGATTCAGGTTGGGAAAATACTACAGAGGCTTGCATGTCAATCCCCCTGCCTTGTGCCTGAAGGGGACTGGGGGCCACCTCCATCTTGTCCACAGCCACTTCCACATTCTGAACCCAGCATGGGCACTGAGAGGGCTGTCTAGAGCAGCACCACCATCCTCCCTGATGCCCAGGCCACCATGGTTTGCTTGCTCAGAAGCTGTGGCTGATGGAGGCCCCAAAGCAGCCAGAGGGCATGGACTTTGCAAGGGACTTTGCCTGGCAACTTTCCCACTTCTTGAGCCTTTGTGGGAGCACTCTTAGGAACCCCAGTAGCCTCTGCCAGGAAGCGCCAGTCCCCGCTGTTCTCCTACTGAACCTGCCTGGAGGTCACAGAGCAGGGCTTTCCCGTCTCACTGGGCTGTATGTCATGTGACCCTGCCTCCTCTACCACAGAAGTGGGCACTTCTGGCCACTCAACTCCTGATTAGTCTGTCCTCTCTCTGGACACTGTTGATGGTTCCAAGCAAAGCCACCCAGGGTTTTTTTTTAAAGGAACAGATGTGGGTTTGATGATCTGAACCCTGAGTCCCACAAAACCCAGGAATTGCAGGGGGCACATGGGGTGAGATGGCCTGAGGATTAAGGTAATAAAGCACAGCAGAGTCGAGATGGAGAGCCAGAAGCACCGGCTTGTGCCTGTAATGTCAGCTGCTCAGGAGGCTAAGGTGGGAGGGTCACCTGAGGCTGGTTCAGCCTGGACAATATAGCAAGACCCCCCATCCGCTTCTCTTAAAGGAAAATGATTAAAAAAAAAAAGCAATGGGTTCCAGGAACCCAAATGATGAGAACCCCTTAGACTCCTAGCTGCAATGAGTCAGCGAACTTCCTGGACTGTTTACTCACAGTAATCCCCCCTTACCCATATGGGTTACATTCCAAGGCCCCAGTGGATTCCTGAAACTGCAGACAGCACCAAGCCCTCCTATATACTACATTTTTTCCTAGACATACATGCCTATGAAGAAGTTTACCTTATAGATTAAAGGGCAGCAGCTCAAGAGCAGCCTAGGCAACAAAGGGAGACCCTATCTCTCCCAGAAATTTTAAAATTAGCCAGGTGTGGTGGCACGCAGCTGTGGTCCTAACTACTCGGGAGGCTGAGGTGGGAGGATTGCTTGAGCCAGGAGCTTGAGACTGCAGTGAGCTATGATTGTGCCACTGCACTCCAGCCTCAGTCACAGAACAAGACTGCCTCTAAGTAAATAAATAATTTACAAATTTAATAAACAGAAACTTACAAATTAGACACAGGAGATTAATAAATAAAGCAGAATCATAACAATATGCTGTAATAAAAGTTATGTGAAAGTGATTTCTTTCTCTCAGAATACTATAATATTTTCTCACCATGGTTGACCTCAGGTAGCTGAAACTGTGTAGAGCAGAACAGTGGATAGGGGGCGCGGGGACAGTGTACCTGGGTTTCAATCACTTGAACAGAGGTAGTTGTCGCTGATTCCACCCCTAACACTCACTAAGCATCATGATTGAAGGTCCCCCATCACGAGCCAAGTCTGAGGAACAAAAGTTAACCAGGCACCTGCGGCCACAGACCTCAGCAGGTAAGGACGGAGCCCACCAAGCCATTCTGGGCACATGGTCACTCCCCAAATTTCTGCTCACCAGGATATAACTCCCAAGAATCCCAAAGAGCTGTCACCACAATTCCCAACTTGGAGTCACTTACAGGAGGCTCTTGAAAGCTGAGGCTCTCACATGCCTTCGCTGGTCCAGGTTCTAATGTCAGTGGTAGCCAGTGGGGGCAGCTCATGCCTGTAATCCCAGCATTTTGGGAGGCCAAGGCAGGAGGATTGCTCGAGCCCAGGAGTTGACCAGCCTGGGCACAGGAGATTAACAAGAGATCCCATCTCTTAAAATGTCGATAGCACACAGTTCTGGTTCCCACATCTCTTCCTGACACTTCCCACACTCATCACCCAGGTAGTGATATGTCTGTGGTCCCTGCTACTTGTGAGACTAGGGTGAGAGGATGGCTTGGGCCCAGAAGTTGAGGCTGCCGTGAGCCGTGATCACACCACTGCACTCCAGCCTAGGTGATAGAGTGAGACCCCACCTAAAAAAACAACAACAACAACAACCACATACCCTTGTCTGCACCCTCCCACAGCACACTTCCTCTCCACCACCGCAGTCTCAGATCAGGCAGTGAGCTATGATCATGCCACTGCAGTTGGGAAAGAAAACGGTGCCTCTGCATGCGCTGGAGGGG